CTCCAGGGCCGCCGTCGGCTTCCCTGGGCGTCGCCCGGGACCGGATCTCCCCGCAACGATCGGAGAGAGATTCAGCTGCTTCCAGCTGCTGATCTCTCCTCCAGTCACTGGGCCCGGAAGTGATGTAATACACATCACTTCCGGTGTCACTATTTACATTCTCCGACTCTTAGAGCCAGGAGAAGAAGCTGGGGAAGCAGATCTCTGCTTCCTGAGCTTCTTTGGGGTCCTTAGGTGACATTCGGGGTCTGAAAGACCCGGAATGTCTCCATAAAGATGACCTATAACACTCTTATCATTTATTCACATAAACACGCGTGGGAGAGCCTACTTGCGAAAACGACAACTGCGCTACACATGTTACATATCGCCACAAACGTCGGAGTGAAAGAAATAATTCTAGAGCTATAAATCACTGTTAGCACTAAACTGATGAGTGGTAAAAGCGTTTAAAGTGTTCCCTATGGGAAATTTTGGGTATTGAAGTTTTTTTGCGGCTTCACGGGTGAACACAATTTTTATCATTTGTGTGCAAATAGTAAGAAATTGCTACGGGCAGAAAATGGTTAACATAAGTTGCTTAGTTACAGTTTTGCTTGCCTTCATTTTTTTTTTTTTTTACTTTTTCGCAAAAAGGCACAATTTAAAATTTACAAATATTTGTTATTAACTCAATACAGTTTTATTAGTTTGGATTTAGTGGAAAACATTTTTTTTGTGAACTGATGATTTTTAGTGTGCTTTTTTATCAATTTAATTGTGGTTTTTTTTGTTTAATATTGATATGATAAACATTTGCGACATTATCGCAGGACCTACAAAATTAGTAGCACCATCTTTTTATTCTACCAGGCCTGTGCTTTTAGAAAATGTATGGTTTGGGGGGTCTTTTACAAACGCTAAAAGCTGCAGTTGGAAAAAAAAGGTAATACAATTGCAAAAATGGTGTGGTCAGCTGAGGTTAAGTGTTGCGCAGGGCCTGGCAGCAAAAGGATTAATTTGTTTTATTATTTTTTACTTTATCTTTTTTTTACCCCTAAACTTTATTGCTATCACACAGGGGATAACCAGCCCCTATGTGACAGCATTTGGAGGTGACAGGTTTATTTATTGAATACAGCAATATGAAAAAGTGTAGCATGCTATCCCTTAGAAACAATGCAGTGGTTTTATATCTAGTTTGTCTCTGGCCAGTACGTAAGGTGGTTCAGTTTTAGATTGGATTAATACCAAACTCATTGCAATTGAGATGTTCTACATATTGTGTGAAATGGGTATTTCATTGTGTTTTGGGACATTTAAGTACATTTTTCACTAAATTTTGGGGTTTGATAAGGAGTTGCGCTAATATCGTGCAACATAAAAATTTGCAACTGCCACCATTATATTCTATAGGGGCTTGGCTTTCACAAAATATATAATGTTTGGGGATTTAAATACTTTTCAGGCCTAAAATGTGGAATAACATGGGTGCAAATGTTTTTTTTAAAAAGCCCTCAGTCATGAAAGGGTTAATATGTTTCTGTTTTATAATTTTGCTGTATACCTGTAGCCCTGTATAGAAGTACCTCAAGATATCTGTACAGACGTTTGTGTGCACGTGGGGAGCCTTCATAACCAGGAGCACACTGCTTAATAGCCTTAACTTTTTCAGACATCCAGTGCTGATAAATCCCTCCTAGCATCCCACAGTTCAATGATTGTGGGTTGCGGGAAAGGAAACACTACAGCTAAAATCAGAGACCATTGATATCGGGCAGTATGCACTCCGGTTTGGGGTGTGCCAGAATGCCAAATCAAGGTATGAGCAGACACCATGAGGTATAGAACTTTGCGAAAATAGGATTTGGTGTTATTTTTATTTTAAAGGCCTTGGCTGCTAAATGAAAAATGTTGGAGAGGTTAAAATATCTACGAATCAATTGACCTTCTTATTTTTGGATCAATTCCCCGGTATTTTTCAGTGGTCACCACAAAGCCCCTTTCTTTCTCTTTCCCCTTTTTTTGAGGTTAAAATAGAATAGTGAGCCATAAATCATGAAAAATTAGGAAATGCTGAATGCACAACTCTATATCTACCGTGTTTCCCCGAAAATAAGACACTGTATTATTTTCTTTTTTGCACGAAAAAAGACACTAGGACTGTTAGGTTCCTGAACTGGCTGGGTTTTGGCTCCTCAGTATCCTGCTACAGCTTCCTTTACTCCTATTCCTCCTATTTGATTCAGGAGCAGAGCCATTGCCCTTGGAGCGGGTATCCCACGGAATTCTGGTTGTGTTGTTGCTCTTTCAAATCCCTGTGTCATCACTCGCACTAAGGAGAACAACTAAACGTCTGGCAGGCAGATTTAATCAACTAGCAAACATGGTAGAACAAGCATGAAATGGTGACACGCTTGACTATTTACAACTGGGAGAAAATGATAACTAATGCCTTTATAGTGGATAAGCAATACAATGCATCTGATATTTTGAAAAGCACATATTTGCATAAAAGAGCTATACAAGTAATTAAGTTGGTGCCCTTTTTTTTTATGAAGAGGGTTTTAAAGTATTTTGAAATGCTGATATTAAGACCTGCTCTCTGTAGTTATCCCTCTTGGATAGCTCACCTACTTTTTATGTATTTCCGCTATAAGCAAATTAGATTGTTAAAAACCACTGTTGCATTGATGTTCTGAGTTGCTGGATGCCATTTGATTCTGGTTCTGAGCTTTATCACCAATGTTACTATGTTGAAATGGCAAATTGTTCATAAATACTGCACATGGGACTAAAATAAGGCCTTAAATTTGACATGTCCAAAATTCCAAAAAATCCTACTTCACTGGGAGAATCAAGGACAATAACTACCATTCATCTGTAGCACCAATTTGCCTGTTAACATCATTATGTTTATTACTAAATTTCACATTTGTTACCAAGTCACAGAATAGAGTTTCTAGCAAATCCCATTTTCTTATGGTAAGTGAATATCTAAACCATTAAGCATGCGATGAGGCCAAAGTGATACTGTCCACAGGTTGGTGCACTGACACCTGTCACTAATTAAGACCTCTACAAATAGGGAATTTTATACTATTCGTGTAGCTGGCAAAGGTGGGTGTAGCTGTAAAGAAAGCTGGTGAGAAAGTGATGTAAAACTTAGTTTACCGTTTGTCCTATCTGAAGTTTTCTCTCTAGCCTTGCTTCTCTTTGCTGTAGCTCCTGAGAACTATAGTGCTTTAAAACCAATCTTCCACTATCTATGGCCTCAGCGCTGCCGTGGTTCAATGTCCCTTTGGTCAAAACTCAAAAGAGACGGGCAATATTGTAGACTCTAATAATGGGTAGGTTCAATCCACCCTCCCAACTTAGGGGCCATGAGTCACCATAAAGCTATATGTGGGCACCTCGACCTCCAGAGAAATTTTACAAAGTCTCATTCTAGGAGCCGAACATAATCATGTTTCAAAAGCATTTACATGGGTGGAAGGGGATATAACAGTCTAGCAAAAATTATAATTTTTATCCAAATAAAGACAGGGATAAGCTTTCCCAAATATGTATTTCCTGGATAATTTTAGTTAGAGTTAGGCAGTTCATTTTGCACAAAGTAGACCGTTGTTTACCCACCTAAATGCCAAGATAAGTAATATAGTGGGTGGTGGGCAGGAAACTAGAAAACCATCATCTGGACATTACTAGAGGGATGAGAGGACCAAGACAGCAGCAATCAACATAATTTTATAACCTGCAAGGAGCCAAAATCCTCAAGTAACCCTTTCATTTTAGGGAGATCTTGGTGGACATTTGAGGTAAATAGGAGCAGGTCATTGGCAAATAATGCATTACGGGATCTCCTGCCTTCCGGTGGTAAAACCATACCAGTCAGGGGTTTGGAGAAGGTATCTGGATAAGGGCTCAATAGCCAGGTTAAACAGCAAAGGTGATGAGGGACACACCTGACGAGTACCCTTCTGAAGAGAAATATGATGGGAGAGAAAGCCAGGGTGTGCACCCTAGCCATTGGTGAAAAAAAACGTGAACCCCCATATGCCTCAACACCTGGCGGAGCCATCCATGATAAAGGTTATCAAAAGCTTTTTCAGCCTCAATCGAAGTGATGGGTCCCCTAGGTGTCGCAGCACTCCTGCAATGTCCCAAAACTGCCAAGACTTTATGGATGTTGGCAACAGCTGCCCTCCCCTTAATAAATCCCACTTGGGAGGGTTTGAATCAATGATTGCAGAATGGTCTCCAGTCTGTCAGCTATGATTTTAATTAGCACTTTTGTGTCTACGTTGATTAGGGAAATTGGTCTGTAAGAGCTTGGAAGGGTAGGATCCTTTTGCTGCTAAAACTTTTATATAGGCTTTGTTGCCAGTGGCAAGTTTTACCATACTTATGGAATTTTCAAGACCCAAGTTTCTCCATGCTAAGTTTTATATAAACATCTAAAGAGGTTTCAAACTCTCCCTTTACTCAGGCCCAGCAAAATCTGCTGACCTGGGTTAGGATCCGATTTCAAGTGTGTAAGCTTGTTTTAGCGCTTGACTAGCTTTAGCATGAAGTTCAACAGACCTTCTTTTCTTGGCATGAACATAAGCAATGAGTTTAACATGCACAAAAAGTCTTCCCTGCCTCCCAGGAGAGAATGGAAGACCAAGAAGGATCAGTGTTCCTGGCACAGTATTCCGAGGAAGCTAAGACAAACTCTTTAAAATGGGAATCATTTGAGAGGTGTGGGGAACCTCCAAATACAGAAATCCCCTCAGGAGTTCACAGTACACTTTAAGGGCGATCTGTGCATGTTCAGAGATTAAGATATCATGAATGTATGGTCAGATCACCAGGGGAGGTAGCGACCGAGAGCAAAAGAAGTAGTCTCTTCTGGAAAATGTAACATTAAATAATTTAAAAAAAAATGAGTTATCAAATAAAGAAATGCTATTCCGAATAAGAATAGTGTCAGGTAAAACGAAAAAGATAGGGAAATACCACAGTGACTTCCTTTTTTCCCCAAAGCATTAAAAGTGCCCTCCAAGCAGAACTCCGGATTGGATCAACAACATCTAAGATATAACGAACATATAATTATACATGCCTGAGTGTCCATCAGGCGCCAAAAACAGTAATGGACTCTATGAAAGAATAAGTGGAATAAAACCGTAATAATGGTGTCCAAAAAGTAACGAGCCATAGATGATAGTATAATGCAGAAACAGGGCTGTGCATCAGAATTTGGTCTAAACCAGTCCCAAGGAGTGCAAGGGAGCAAATAGCGGACAATGCAAAACTGCCACCAGATGAAACATTCGATACCTAGCCCTGATTTTGTTGGGTTGGAGTCTTGGGATGGAGATGAGACTAAGGACTGCAGGGAAGACAGCAGTTGACAATTGAGGCAATTCCTCTAAGCGTATGGAAAGGTCGACGTGGGAGATGAGTGACTCTCTGTAAGTTGTAGCTGCCCCAGGATCAGTAAAGTAGAGTCTTTCACCATCCTGGTCTTGGAGAAGCAGTGTGGCCGGTTAAGCAAGACTGAACTGAATTTTCTTCTGTAAAAGCGCACAGCAGACTTTGGCAAACAATTTCTTCTTTCTGCTAACCTCTGGGGAATAATCTGAAAAGAGAAGGGCTTTTTATGGCCATCCAGCACGATCCAGCAGAATGGTATGCCCACAGAATGGCCATTTTGTGATTGTAGTCCAGGTATTTTACAATTACTGAGTGAGGAAAAGGAGTGTTGTTGACACAGTGGAAAGGTGCGCTTGTTCCACTGTGCGCAGACTATACCCTCGCTTCTGGGCATAGATTGCATTTCCAGAGTGCCTGTAAACCAACCAGCTTATATTGTTCCAGCAAGTCCACAGTACAGAGGTTTGATTTTTCTCCTGGATCTGTTTTGCAAGTCATCCAGCTTGTCCATCAGGTGAGATCATTGCTCCAAAGTAGCTTTGTGGAATACACGTGTTTTGCCCAAGTAATTCTCCAAGTGCATTACTCTAGCTTTGGCCTCAATAAGGCACTGTTTCTATGCTAATTGCAACTGCTTTCTCTGTGGTGGTAGGCGTGGCTAGCAGAAACGAGGATGGAGGAACCAACATGGATCCAATTCCCACTTTGCGCCCTTTTTGGCAGAGAAGGTCCAGGGACCGATTGTAATTTTCACCATCCTTGTGTGCTGCATCCTCAGGAAATTTCCCTCCACTGTTTGGACCTGGTTCAGGCGAGGTTTACTTCTCTGCAACAGCTTCCATCTGCAAGTCTGACTATTCTTCATAACAGGTTAGTTGGCCATGTATGCATGCATGTGAAATGGGGACATTTATTTGTAAGCTCCTTGAGGGCAATTTTTTTAAAGTCCCCACCCCTACATACACGCATGTAAACATGCGTCAGGTGCGCATACCTGCGAAAACGACGATTGCACCCATTACGCCGCACATGTTACATATCGCCGCGAACGTCGGAATGAGAGCAATAGTTCTAGGGCCATCAATCACTGATGATAACACTAAACTGATGAGCGGTAAAAGCTTTTAAAGCGTCGTCTATGGCCAATTTTGGGTATGCTAGTTTTTTTGCGAGTGCCGGCTCTATAGCCGGCGGATCGCTTGTATAGTAACGGGCATCGCTGCCTCTTTTCAAATAGCGGGGATTTCCCGCTCGCGCGCTCAGCACGCCCGAGTGGGCAGGTGTAACAGGACGTGTATACACGCCCAGTTACATCCAAGAAGCTCCCGGCCGGCCGTGTATACACAGCGGCTGGCCGGGAGGTAGTTAAATAGCACCGACAATTTAGGCAGCGCAATTTAATTTTTAAGCTTGACATGTTTGGTGTCTATTTACCCGACCTCGTCTTTTATATTTTACCAAAAAAGTGGGTAATATTAGTTGTTTTACAACATAATGTAAAAAAAAACTTTTTTTTTCAAAATTTTCAGTAATTTCTCCTGAATATAGTAAAAAATAAAACCCGCAGTGGTGATTAAATACCACCAAAAGAAAGCTCTATCTGTCCCCAAAAAATGGTAAAAAATTTGTTTCAGTACAGCGTTGCATGACGGAATAAATGTCAGTCAAAGTACTGCAGCGCTGAACACTTAAAAATGGCCTGGCCAGGAAGGGGGTCTAAACACCTGGTCTTCAAGCGGTTAAATACCAAGCATAAAATAATTCCGGAGGGTCATGATATGGAGTGACCAGCTTCCCACTCCACTATTGCTAGGTGGAGTAGTCAGACCATCGCTCAGGCCTATGAGCTGAAGGGGGGAAGGTTCCTCCATTTCCAGTCATTGCTCACTCCTGTGGAAGTGCTACTACTTTTTGGGTGTTTTGGCATCGGGCTTCAACTTCCCTAAATCTGTAAGGTTGCTACCTAGTCCTCTCTGTACATCTTTGTTGAGTTTTATCAGGTGGACATTTAGGCCTCTGTGGATGTCAGTTTTGGCCTGTAGCTCCTTTTTTGGGTGGCTTTTTGTTTCTAGCTCTCTGTTTCCTGTTGGGAT